GAGTTATTCAGCAGTTGATCCTCTGCTTCTCAAGGGCCTGGCTGTTATTTCACCTTGTTTTTCAGCTGAATTGGGCCTGGAATGAGCTCTGAAGGGCATGGCACAGGGATCGCGGTGTAGCCTTTTCCAGGGACCGTGCCACATCCTGGTGCAGCGACCATGGTGCGTCCTGGCTCAGGGACCAAGGTGCATCCTGGCTGAGGGACAGTGTTGCAGCCCGCCTCAGGGACCACGGTGTATCCTGGTGCAGCGACCGAGGTGCATCCCGGCTCAGGAACTATGGTGTGGCAGGGCTCCGAAATCTTGGTGATTCCAGGTTGTGGAACACCTGGAGGGCACAGCTCCTTGGTAGCAGGAACAAAGGGCACTTGAGGGGGAGGCTGGTGGGGCTGCTTGATCTGCTCCTGTGGAAGCTGAGGAGGAGGGACAAATGGCTGCTTCTGCTGGTGGGAACACATGCTCGGAAGGTTGCTGGGCCTAGCAACAGAAAACTGATCAGTCATTTGGAGAAATAAGGAGGAAGCCCTGTTTAATGACAAATATCTCTCATGGTGTGTCCCTCCAGAAGTGAGGCAGTCTTTTATCTTTGTTTCCGTTTTCCTGAATTTGAGGTGACAGGGTACTTTGATAGTGCTTGCAAGGTTTCAAGGTGAAACACAAAGATGATCTGTTCATGTCCACGTGAATGGAGCCCTTCTGTTTGCTCCCTCCCTACCTGGTGCATCTAAACACCAGTGCATGGCACAAACATCGCAATACAACAGCAGGCTCCTGTGAGGGCCCAGGTTTTGAATATTTGGAGAAATGGTAGGACAAAAGTTTACCCACTCACGTGTGTATTACAGAGTGCCTTTGCTCTCACAGGAAAACTCCTACAGGCTTCTCCTTGAGCCCACAGAATCCTCCTTTGAGCCTGTGTCATACTGTCAGTTCTAGAGAGCTCTGTACCACCTCACTGCTTATCCACAAATGGTCCCTTGTCACAATTCTCCTCCTGGAGGCCTCTGCCAGGCTCATTTCACCTCTCTTTCCTTTTACTATCGTTCACTTTACAACATCTGTATCAGCTATTATGCCCATGTATGTGTCTTCTAAGGGCTCGTACATTCATAGAAGAAAGGAAACTTAATTTGGAACATCCAAGTTCCCATTATAGCATTTCTTATATTACAAATTCTGAACATATATTAGAGAAGTAATTAAAGGGCCACTAAAAATTCCTTTGATGTGGAGAGAGCCTCTTGTTAACAAATCTTTAGAGAAATCACTTAGCTTTTCTGATACTAAGTTCCATAGTTGTAAACTGAGTGGAAAATAAAAAAAAAAATCTATAAACTTGCTATTGCATTTAAAATAAATATATCCTCGGCCATCAAAGAGATTCCAATCAATATAAAGCAATAGTGAAAGAATATTAAGAGGTCCATAGTGGGGAGACTCACCTGGTCTGTAGAGAAATCCAAGCTCTTCAGCCTCTCAGATGTGGTGTGGAGCCTCTGGGCAGCTTGCATTTTATACAGAAAATGAGCCCTGCCTTGAGGAAGTAGACTCTCTTTTTGACTCTTTTGCCTTCATTCCAGCTTTTGTGATGAAAATCTCTGGCTTAACATGTTTTTGACACCTACCGTGTGACAATAATTTCACCTAAGCCTGGTTCTTTGTTCATCTTCTGTGGTGTGGTTGCTAGGGGCAAAGGCTTTTCTGGGAGCAATGGATTAAAACAAGAGGAAATTTTTGAGCTTCTGAGACCAGAAAGTCATGTTTCTCGGCCAAGGCCCTGATCTTTAGCCCTGACTCGTCCTACAGGGCATCTGAATGTCTGAGCTGGATGTGGGGATAACTGTTGGCATTCTGGTTCTCCTGGAAGCCGTAGGAGTGGTGCAAAATGAGTGAATCATCTCATCTGGTAGTTAGACTCTCAGTCACTACAGGCCCACAGGAAGAAATGAATGGGGGAAACGCTTCCTTTGGAAATAAGTTGTTTCCATTTTGGAAGTGACCCTAAGCTATTGTGTTGATCAGGGTAGTAGATACCATAGGAATGGACAGTGAGGACTGATTTGATCTTTCTCACATGATGGCACAGACAGGAAGACCCTGTTACTCAGAGTATCTGCCTTCCATGGTGACCCAGCAACCATGGGCCTTGGTTCTCTCCATTCATAAACCAGGCGTTTGCTCTGCTCACAATAGGATGAACTGAGGTCACTAACCCACCCTCAGTATACAATATCTTACAAGGGGCAGGCCTTGGAAAATCCAAAATTCTCAAATACCAGGTACGTGCAAACTTTGCCCTTCCTATTTTCCTACCATGATGTCACCTCTATGAACCTGACAACCCTGATGTACCCCTGATGCACGATGCCTCAGCCACCACCCTGAGCTCCTCAGTGAATTTTCCAAAGCCAGTAGTTGCTCTTTATCGTCACACATTGCCTGCTTGTAGTATGTGGTTAGTTAGTAGACAACTTGTGCTTTCATGAATAGATGTAGAGGTACATGAACTACAAAGAAATGTGGGAAGGTAAACAGGAAGGGATAAAGGAGAGGGAGGGGGACAAAGGGGGAGAGAGAGAGAGAGAGAGAGAGGGAGGGAGAAGGAGGAGGAAGAGAACAAGGAGAAGACAGAGGGAAGAGAAGGAGCAGAAGAAGGAGAAAGTGAAGATGTGGAAGAGGAAGAGGAGATGGATGGAAGAGAAAAAAGAGAGAAAAGCATTCTTTTAGAAAAACAGCTCTAACCCTGGGGTGGTACCAGGGCCACTACTACAACTAAACTCGCGCAGAGGTTCCTGTTCTCCCCCAAATTACCTCTCAGTAGCACCTAACACAGAAAGCTCTGGCCGTACCCTGGCTTCTCATCTCCCAAGGATCCTGCCTTCTGCTTCTGTGTCGTGCATAAGACAGTGCTGTCCAGGTGCGTCCTTGGACCTGTTTCTGGACGGCACTGCTCACCTCTCTAAGACACTGGCTGACCTGATTCGCAGGTTGGAATCTGGGTCTGTTCTATATCTACCCTTGATTTGAACCTTGGTTATAGCACAAAGTTTTTCTCATTTTCTGTCTCTTATTGCCAGGTGAGCTCTCCCATCCCCTTCCCTAAGTGGTTTCTCTTTCACGCCCCACCAAAAAGCCTTTTGCCGTCATCATCTTGAACGCCTAACTTTAGCCCTGCCCTGATATTCCTGTTAGTTTGGTCAGGTGCACTCAGTGCCTAAGTGTGAAGGATCTTTCTGCCCTTTCAAGAAGCTTCACTGATAGCGTGGAGTATGGTGAATTATCTGGCTTTAGTTTCTGAGAAGGTAAATCTATCAGCTTCTGAGGGTGTGTTCCACAACTTCTGGTACACTTGTCTTCCTTCCTGGCTCTCTTCTCTTGGCACAAGCAGCTGCTTTTCTTTCGACTTCATTGTCCCAGGACCTTCATAGCTTCTGTTTGTGGACAGTATTGATACCACTTAGGGATCCTCCACATCTTTCCAGTCTTGCTCTTTTGCCTGCCGTGGTTTAGTAGACCATTTCCACATGTTGCCCTAACCGAGCATCTCCTTTCTAGACCCACGGTTTACTGAGAGCACAGTGTGAGCTGTCTGTGGGAATGTGCAGTGTGCTTGAGGATATTCAGCTTGGCATTCTGCACACTAATTGCCCAGTAGCCACGCTTGGCTGATGGAGGACGTGAGCTGTGCAACAAGGCGATTTCACTCCCAGGGGTCACCCTTTTGTGACACAACTCTTTCTGTGCCTCTGACAACCCTGGGGATCAAGCTCCAGTTGCCCTTTGAGACTGCCTCCTTAGTAACATCCTCTTTGCAACGCGCTCATTTCTTTGCTTTTGCTTGGTTTCAGTCCCCTTAATTCCATATCTTCTCTCCTAGGATGATGGCCCAAAGAAATTAACCGCATGTAGGATTTATGTCTTTAGTTCTGATTTGGAGAAATCTGGGCAAGGACATGGTATATAATGCACACTCTATTTTAGAGACCGAAAGAGAAACATGACTGCTTAGTGATAGAAACCAGAGTCTGGGGCGAGGTCAGAGCAGTCACCTGATGGATTAATGGAAGCAGTTTGGAGCTCTGCTGTGGACCCTATTGTTGGGTGTTTATGTACTCTTCTCTACATGTGATTGTGTTCCTGATTTGTTCTGGGGAGATTTTTCAGTCTTGGATTTGGCTTGGTAAAAATAGCACAAGTTGGCATCATGATATGAGAGAGATAAAGTGCTATATCATGATATGAAAGTCATGCTATGGCAGACTTTGAGTTGTGCAGGGAACATGCCAGACAGGTCTGCCTCAGTTGGCCAGGCCTTAGTTCTGGGCCTCCAGAAGCAAGCTCTGGGGTCCTAAGCTCACTAATTCTGTTGCCGTCAGCATCGTGCTGCTGCTTCTAGCTAAACCAGTTACCACTACCCAGCAGGATTCTGCTCACCACAAATTTCTGCCCTACAACAATGAATAGCCTTCGAAAGGGGATGTATCTATCAGGATTCAGTTTCAGAAAAGGCTTAGAATACAATGCCAAGGGGGTTCTACCAATAACTTGAACTCTCCTCACACCGCTTGCTCTATAAGATATATAAATTAGATGTAGCTGAAATAAAGTCCTGCAACATTTACTAGTATTTTGGTGCCACTGCCTTGATTCTTGCTAAGGATTCAGGAATTTTCTTCTTCTTCTTCTTTCCCCATTTCTATTGAACCACGTGTTCAATATTAGCAAGATAAATGTACAAAGTCTTACTAAGACAAAAGGAGGAAAAGGAACAGAGGTATGAGCTCAACACGGCAGGTTTACCTCAGAGCAAGCCTGAGAGGGGCAGCCCTTGCCCTGGAGAGCAGAGGAGCTCACTCCCCTGAAGGCTAAAAGGTCTTTCATAGGGCCACTGGCATAAAAAGGGGAGCTGGGAAAGGAAAGTCAGAATGGTACTTTGGAGGGGTAAAGTTCCCTACAAAGGAGCTGTGGCTATCCACCAGGGATAGGGCTTGAGAGCACAGGTGGAGTGGACATTTGTCAAGAACGGGTTTGAATAATGACTGGGAATCATAAGATGTGGCTGTGCTTACTGGGCATTACAGACCCACGACTGGATATCTGCAGCAGGTACAAAAGCATGGCAGGAAGAAGGGACTTAGAGTGACCTCTGCTCATACCAGGATGGCACTCGCCAGATTCCTCCACCTGTCTTCTTACTTAATTACCAATCTTGACATCGCAGATTCCCTGCGAGGATCTCCAAGAGCCCCGATAATCTGCAGATCACACTTGGCCAACTTTCGATCTAGCATAATAATTTCCATGTGCCTCGATCTGCAAAAATCTTTGGGCCCAGCAGCACCTGCCACTGTGCAAGGCAACATAAAAATCCTTGTGATGAGGAGGACAGACATGAGAAATTAATTCTAGTCTGCAATATATAAAGTCAATGACTTGCATTACCTAGTATGATATTTATTTTAATGATGGAACATAATTCTATAAGAAATGTTGCCATAGATTTTCCCTTGAGGAATGTTAACAGAATAGGACTTTCTCACCTCCTACCTCCAGGCCCGTCATTCTACCTGCTGGAAGAATGGAAAAACTCTAACTGTGGAACCTATCAGTGCAGCTGGAGAGGCAGAACCTTGTCCTCGGGAGTTCTCTCTCCTAGGAGGTACATGACACTGTTCAACAAGTACTGCAGGTAGATCTGAGAAGGACTGAGTAAGTGTCTTGCAGTCTTCGGCACTGCTGCTTTAGGTGTCCATAGGGGAGAATGAGTTTGAGGAAGGGTCACGTTCTAGGCACTCCCAACACAGGAGCTGTCTGGATGGAAAGATTTAGTGCAGCACTGCCTTCAAAATCACTGCACCTTTCAAAGAAAGTTTAAGCTTTTCAGCAAAATTAGGTAAGTCCTACTACTTAGTCCACAGAGAAGACCTAAAATAATCCTGCCCACCCTGGCTACCAGTCCAGAGAAGTCAGACAGGAATTCAGGATGAGTGCACAGAACAGGAATGGCAGGGCAGTTTGCCATATGCTAGAGCACATCTGAGAGTTGTGCCTGTTAATGCACCAGGGCCAAAGCAGGTCTAATGAGACCCAAAAGTCCAGACTGGCCTTTTAGTTCTTGGGAAGAGGTCAGTATGGCCAGGCTGGGTGAATGTGAACATAAACCAGAAGAAAGAACAGTAGAAGATAGGAAGAGAAACATGAAAGAGAATCAGATAAGTTAAGCAGGGAGATGGAGACCCATGCTAAGAAGGCGGTTGGCATAGATGTCAAGGAAGGAAACAGCCACACAGTGGGAACTCTCTTATTCACAGGTTTCTACCTAGAGCAGATAGTACTGTCTCTTCACACACATATAGACTCATGGTCCTCCTAGGATAAAATAATGTGAATGTGACAGTGATGAACAGAAATATATTTAGGAAAAGAAACCGAATCTGCACTGAGATCCATAATCACGTTGCATACCAGCAGTTCACCATCTTCTGAGCACTTTGTTACCTTCAGTTCTGCACACAGTGCTGGTGTGCTGCCCTCTACTGTTGGCTGGGGGAAGAACATCCGGTTTACTGCACAGCAAGAGTGGAATCAGAGATGGGGCTGGGACTCAGGCCCCAATTCTGCCCGGTGTGCTCCAGCCTTAGGCTTCTGGGGTCAAAGTCAGCAGATGAAACAGGAGTCTCTGAGAGTGAGGTGGAGCAGTGGTATTGAGGTTTCCCACGAAAAGATATAGCATTGCGCTGCACATGGTCTGACACAGTACAAAAATCAGGCTGAGGCCCCTGGATCTCTGCTGCCCCACCTTTTAAAAATCAAATGTGTGTATGTTTATATAATGTTGAAATGATCACCCTGATAAATAAATATTGTACATGGGAATGAATATGAAGACCTTGCTGGACAATGTTTTCCTATCTTTTATTTTCCGAATGTCTGAGCTCTTTCCAAATGTGCTCGGAGCACCTGTGTATCCCACAGGCACCTCCTCTACCACCTCGCACATCTCTGTAGCAGATCATTCATCTCATCAACAAATGGCGTTCTTTCCCCAGTGGCTACCACAGTTGCTCTGAAAATCCCGGGTGGCCTCCTGTCCTCTGCTGACAGCCCCCTCTGGGAGGGCCCAGGCCTGGCCAACAGAGCCTGTGGAACCTGCTGTTCAACGGAGAAATCAGGAAGACAGTTCTGCAGTGGGAAAGCCAGAGGCTGAGTCAGAAACATGACTTCTGGGTGACTTTAATTATCCTCTCCTTTTAGACACTTATCTGCCTATTAATCTGGAGGATAAATGGCTTGGACTAGGTGCTCATTAAACCACCTTTACATTAAAATTTATATTATGATGACCTGTTCTCTCTCACTTTTTGTTTCTTGGCTAGGTGTTTTTACATTTTATTACCTGCAACAATATAGATCCTAGAGCCACCTCATTCCCTCCCCCCCCACCAGGGGGGGTTAGGCCTTCCCAGGAGCCCCTGGCTTCACCTGGGCCCTGCCAGAACTCCTGCTGCAGCTGACAAGGGTCTCTCTCTGCTGCTCTGACTGCCAAGTCCCAGAGCTGGGGTTCACATTGCTTCTCTGCAGCTGTGATACAGTCCAGCCTCTTCTGCACGGTGGCCTGAGCCTCCTCCAGCTCCTGCTTGACCAGCAAAGGGCCCAGAAGTGTAAAGACCCACCATGGACCCATCCAGCAGTGCTGGTTCCTCCTTCGCAATGTTGTTTTCTGTTAGTTGTGTTCAAGCTTCCGGCTCCCCAACATGGATTTACTCAAGTCTTTCCCTGGTTGTTGGCATTTCCCTAGTTCTCTGTGCAGCTTCTTTTGGATCAGTTCAGCCACGGCCAGGATGAACACTGCGGGGAGGAGGGAACACTGGGCCTCAGTCTCTGCTAGGTATCCTGTCTCACTCTACTGGCCATCCGTAGTCCTCCCTTCAATATTAACTCTCCCTCCCTTTATGCTGGCTTTTTTCCCCCCTTACTTGTACCAATACCTTTTCTTAGGAAAACTGCCAGAACTCTTTGGTCTTTTTTCTTTTTGATTTGATGTATTCACTTGTATGTTTCACTTAGAGAAGCGCCATCCATAGGCGTGGGTGGATGGGCGCAGGGAAGGCTGTGAACCGCTGTGAGGGTGTGTGAGGGGGGAGTGGGAGAAGATCAACTCTCAGGGTTCCTTGAGGACAGGAACTGTGGAGTCCACTCTCCTTCCTGCTATAGCACCAAGCGTCCTCACACTCAGTGAGAAAAGAAGACCAAATAAGGTGAATAAGTCAGAGTGTGGGTGTGTGAGCTGTGTCACTTAGGAGAGCTAGTGTGTGGAGATGTGTGTGTGTGTGTGTGTGTGTGTGTGTGTATCAATTTCTGTGTATGGAAATCTACTGTGTGAGCAGATATGTGTTGAATTTGCTCCACACTTAGGACAACGAAAAGGGAGAAGAAGAAAGAACAAATAGTCAGCCTGGAACACGTACACACACTATTTCTCTGGAATAATTTTTGAAATGAGTCAATTGAACAGAATAACTATAATTAGAGCACAAGAACTTTGCATCAGAAGTAGCTCGAAGCAGGAACACTGTATCCTCAGGCATGGCTCACTCAGGTGAGCTCTAGCTGTGGCTGTGCAAGGTTACAGACTCACCGTGGACACTCCCCCATTGCCAGACCACAACTGCCCTTTGTGTAAAACACACACACACACACACACACACACACGCACTATCTGACTGCCAGGATCAGGCATCTTCCAACCACAGACCTCATGATCAATCTTTGCTGTGCTGGTTCCTGCTTTAGCTGTGAGAGCAATGAAGGTTGGAGTGGCCAGTGACTCACATAGGCAGGCATGGCATTAAAACCGATTTAATGAGGCAAAGAGGGAAGATTCCTCCCAAATCCCTCTTCAGATCAACTCTGAGCCCCTGGAAGACTAGCTCACTAGTTAGTAAGACTTTAAGCAGTGTCCAGAGGCTCAGGAACCCTCCAGAGTGAGTGCAAAGGATATTTTTGGAAAGCACAGAGGGCAATAGTGTGCTAGTTGCCAGGTCAACGGACAAGGGACTCCTAAGCAGAATGGGAAAGGGGGCTTCAGCATCTGGTGGTCAGCTCCTCAGTGGCGTGGCGGTGGATCACATTACTTCTGCTTGGTCTTCTGCTGAGCTAGTACTGGAGTGACTGCTGAGGGGCAGGGCTCAGGAGCCTTGGGGTGGCAGGGCTCAGGAGCCTTGGGCTGGCAGGGCTCAGGAGCCTTGGGGTGGCAGGGTTCAGGTGCCTTGGGTTGGCAGGGCTCAGGAGCCTTGGGGTGGCAGGGCTCAGGAGCCTTGGGGTGGCAGGGCTCAGGTGCCTTGGGCTGGCAGGGCTCAGGAGCCTTGGGGTGGCAGGGTTCAGGTGCCTTGGGCTGGCAGGGCTCAGGTGCCTTGGGTTGGCAGGGCTCAGGAGCCTTGGGGTGGCAGGGCTCCTTGGTTTTGGGGGCACATGGCTCCTGAGGTGGAGGCTGGCAAGGCTGCTTCACCTGGTGCTGCTGAACCTGAGGGGGTGGGGTGCAGGGCTGCTTCTGCTGGTGTGAGCTCATGCTTCAACAGTGGTTGATCCTAGGAACAAATAAACTGACTCAGTCATTTAATGAAAGAGAAAGGAAGACAAGTTCAAGGTCAAAGAGACTTCATTTCAGGTCCACTTCCAGGGAGAATCTCACTCTGCTCTCACTAACACCCTACAGAAGGAAGGAAAACATGCTGTGGTGATGTCTGAGCCCTTTCCAGGGGAGGAGCTTGAAGGCGTATTGCTCTGTCCCGACTCAGAAGAGTCTTTGCTCTGCTCCCTTCCTGCAGACATGTTATCTCTGCATTGAAAAAGGACCCAAGAAAGCTGGCTTTTGCTGGGTGTGGCAGGCCATGGGCCAGGTCTTCTGGACAGTGGCTGACAGAAGTAACTGCATCTGCCCACTCCTGGTTCCACAGAAAATGCACTGGGACTTACAGGATGGACTAATGTCCAAGCCCCAGTGGCTCTGCTTCTGGTCTCTGCCCAAGCCATCTCCTCTAAATACTTTCTTTCCCATTTCTGCTTGTCAAATACTCCTCCAGGGTGGCTGGCATTACACACAACAGCTAAGCAGCTCTTCTTGTGCAGTGCTCCCTCACACTTACTGCTTACTACTATCTACCTACCCTGCATCTCATCTAACTATGTACATGCAATGCCTTCCCTGCTAGGTGGTGAGTTTGGTAACTTCTGTGTTGGTCTGAGTTATCTAAAGTGCATAGAGCACAGATTTAAATACCTACAATACTTAGTAGAGATCCACCTGGCGAATTAAAATTTCTGCAGTGACTGTCACATCAGAGCGAATGGTAGTGTAGCTGACGGTACCATGGACCTGAACCTTAGACTTGTCAGCTATGAACCGTGAGCATCTCAACGAATCCCTCCTCCTCCCAAATCCCTATTTCCATGACTGTCCACTGCATCGTCAACTTAACTATGTCTAAATTCTCTTCAGGCCGTGATGTAGGTTTTAGTTCTTTAAAAAGCTGTCCTAGTATTCTCTAACTCTAGCCAGTACCCTGCCTCAATCTCCCGATGCACATTCACCTCATCCAATTTCCAACAATAAAAGAATAAGCAAGAATTCCAAAGCATTCACACTCAGAGACACACCTGGTTCCTGGAGAAGAATGGGCCAGTCGGGTCGCTGGAATCTATTGTGAATGTCACGGCTGACTGGCTTTTATAAGATGAAAATCTCAGGGAACTAGATTTGCCCCAGCCACTCTGTTCTCTTTCTTGTTTCACGTGACTCACCCTACTCCCCTCAACCACCCTTTGACTCAGCGTTACAGGATGAAAACACTCGCCTGATCTAATGGCACTGGCACTCTGACAGTGACGTCACCTGTCCCACTGCACCTTCGCCCTCAGCCCCAGGTGTCCTGCTTGTGTTCAGGGAGGGATGAGCCGCAGGCTCTTGGCTGATTTCATGAGTTAGCCCTGGAGGAGGTCTGAGTCCTTTACTGACCCTGGCATGCGCTGTCTCACGCAGGTGGTTGCTCCTGTGTTCTGTGGGAGGACAATGCTTAGGCACACAAACAAGTGGGAAAAAGAAGAAGAGGAGGCACTGAGGGGCCCCACTGCCTGCCTGCCCTAGTGAAGGCGAACGGTAGAGATGTGAAATTGATGGTGGCTTCTTCAGACCCTAGAACTTTACATCCGTTTCTCCCGTTTTTCTCTCAACTCCACTGACCTATACATATGCAGAATATTCACTTCAGCCCCACCCCTCCCCAACTGGTTTACTAATCGGGAAAACCTGCTTTGCTTTCACCAACCACACCTTTACCCCTCTGCTGCTTTGGAAATTTTCAACAGCTAATTCCTCTTCCGGGCTAACCTTTTCCCTTCCACGCTACCCAGCCAGTCGGTCGTGGCTTTTTCCTGCTTCCTAACCCAACTGTATTTTGCCTGCATCTGAAAATCTGAAAGCCTTTTCTCTCCACCTCCACCCCAAACCCAGCCGTGGAGTCCCCCGTGCTGAGCCCTCCACTGTCTGCCCACTTCTGCCCCCAGCCCTGACACCTGCAGATCCTGCTGACTGAAATGTTTTCTTCCCCATTCCGACTTTGTGGTCACTCCAGGGTCACAGCTGTTCCTATCCAAATTAACAGTGTTCCCAGGATCTTACGTCTTTCCTCTTCATTCACCAAAGTAGCGAAGTGTCTAATCTGCGCTGGTCAGGATACTCATTCAGGGATTTAGCTGAGACCAAGGCCCCGCTTCCTCTAGTGGATGGGGAACTCCCCTAAGAGAGAGTAAGTAACTAGGCTTACTGGCTTTCAGAAAGCCTAAGTCCTCATGTATCAAGGATAAGTGGGGATTTGAAACTATGAGGGGTGATACAACTAGCCAAAGGTCAAAAAACAAACCCCGAAAGGAAAAGAACCCTACACAGGAAGTAAAAATGATGAAGGCCGATAAGTGATGAAAGGCTACTTCCTGGCTTGGCTCTGGGTCCCCTCCCAGTTCTGGGGAAGCTTTGGTAACTGGTGAAACAGAAAGATCCCTGACAATGGGTGAGTATTTAAAGGAAGCAAAGATGAATCTGAAGTAGGGATAAAAAATTAGGCATTCCTAATTCTGCTAAAAGTAGGAGGGGGTGAATTAGCATGGGTGGAAACAACAGACTCATTCAGTTCAGCATCAACTCAGTGGGCCAGAGTCTGAGAGAGGAAAGGAAAAGGCTAACTTGATAAAATATTTACTGTGAACACAGTTGGTTTCCCTCAGAGGTCTCCTGCTAGCATAGTGATGAGGCCCAGGTTCTCTGACCAGTGAGACACTGAGGATGCCTCTGAGTACCTACCCAGCATATGCACCCCTTCCATGATGCTCAGCTTCTGAAGATTATCCCTGTCGCAGGGCTTTCCTTTCCTAGGGTCATAAAACCAAGGGTTTCTGAGGCTTTACATCAGCAATTTCTTCTAAACAATATAATGTGAACTGAGGTCACGATGCAGAGCTGCATTCCAAGCACAGTCTGATAATAAGTGTGGCCGCGTTACCTTAAACTTCCAGTGTGCGGATGGCTTCTTGCCTTCATCTCAACCTCTCATTTCCCTCTCCAAACACACGACTAGGTATTCATGGAGCCCCTGCCGACTCTGTAACTGGGTCACCTCTTGGGAATTTGAGTTCGGGCAGCTTCCCACCGAATCCTAATAGCCATTGGGTTCATATCTGCCCTTACCCAGTGCCTGCTGTGGAGTGGGGGCTCAGAAATCAGGACTGTGCACTGCCTGATGGGCTTAAATGCCATTATGTGTGAACAGAGGCTGGGCTACCCTCGAGAAACATTCCATTCCCTTGTGATGGGTCTTTGGGATGAGCTGAAAAGGGACTTGAGGGCCCAGTAGAAGTCGCAAGACGCTTCTGCCTTCCTTGCCCATCTGTTTCATTATGGGCCGGGATAATGATACACCTTGCTCTGGGCTGGGGCCAATACCAGCACCACACCTGAGCCCCAAGCTTCTTGTCTCTCTTAAAAGTCTCCTCTCTCTAGGCAGGCTTAGGTCCCTTTCCTTACCCAAACTTCTCCAGAGGTGGTGCCCTGTCATGTCCTGTCCTGGGTGTGAAGCTATTTCACCAGATGTCTACACACGGCAGGGCTCTCCTGCCTGTCCCAACCTGTGCTTCCTCTATCCTACTCAAGGCTGCTCTGGCTTGTGGCCTCTGGAACTCTCCCTTGGCCCTTACATGGTTCTTTCTGTTTATCTAAAGCTCCCTGGGTGGCTTGTATTAAGGCTCTTTCTCCTCTTAAAAGCTTGAGAGTCTCCTCACCACCAGGCTTATGTTAGCTATTGAAATCAGCCTTTCCACATAGAAAGACAGGAATGGGACAACCTCAGGCAGGAAGTACATTTCCCAGGATTCTCAGCCTTTCAAGGAGCCCTGCTCAAGACCCAGAATGCTGCTGTTCTCCCCACGTTGAATATTTTGTCCCATTGCCTGGACCCTCTGCTCAGGCTGGGAAATGTCTGCAGTCAGCCTTTGTTTGCCAAGCAGGGTACAGTAATGACTCTAAACCTATTCTGTGGGCTGGTTACTCCTTCCTCTCTAATTCCTCAAGGCCCAGACTTGCGTAGATCATGCAGAATTTGAGTTTCCTCCATTTACCCATGAGTGTGTGTATTTAAAACACGGTACTGTTTAGAAACCCAGTCTTTAGAGAGTTTTACATTCCCCTGTCCTCTCTGATCATGGAGAGATGTCGGGGAGAGCAGAGTGTTGCTCATTCAATTCAGATAATCAATTTTTTAAGTCTCCCTAACAGGCAAAGTGCCCCACCAAGAAAAGAAGAAAGAAACACCAGATCCCAAGTATTAGGATTGTGGAGAACACTTTGGCCATGCAGGGAGGAGAAGCTGAGTTTGCAAATACTGTGGAAAAGAGAGGACATGAACTCATAGCACTACAGAACCTCTACTCAATCCTTCACTCTAGGAGGGAGAGAAGGGACAAGTGGAGGAAAAGACTTGCTCCAGGCTCTATTGGTTGCTTGGCAGAAGAATCAACCCCAAACTCGAGATTCCTGATTCCTTTTCCATTTCATTGTCTCCCTAGGACAAGACCTTCCCTCACCCTTCATCTTTTAAGCCAAGATGCAAACCCAGTACTATGATTCTGAGGACCTTGTGAATCTCAGTTTATCTCACTTGTACTTTGGAATGATAATATTTGCTCTCAGAGCTATTATTAAATGAGATAACATATGCAAAACACCTTCCAGAGTGACTAGAGCATAGTCCATGGGTAAAAGATATCAAGTGCATCTGTTCTCATTATGGTCAGAAGCACATCTATTATTAGAAACCCATCTCTAGTGACTCAGAAAATGCCATCATTTTCTTTATTTCTGAACTACTCAATCAGCCACTCAATTAATACATACTTGTTGAATGACAGTCAGATGTCAAGTATGAAGTCCCAGCTGTGTGAAGTCGAGTGGAGAGATATGCAGTGTTCCATGAGATCCTGGGCTCCACTCTCTGTCCATGTCCAGAGTTCCCCAACTGACCTATGCACGGGAATCATTTTGGATATTGCAGAAAATACACCTACAATCTCTCCATCTTAATGGAATAGACATAGTAGGAGGGCCCACAGATCTGTATTTCTAAAATATGCACATGGTTGTTTTTATGATCAAACAGGTTAGAAAACACCAGTTACTAAACACAATGGCTTTTCAACTTTGATTGTATTTGACATCATCTAGTATCTTTTAAAAAAGTCTGTGTCTGAGCTCCACTACAGAGTTTTATTGAATCAATCTTTCAAAGTTCCCAGATGAAACGAGGGTTGGAAATCGCTAACAGAAGTGCCAGCTCCTAGAACCTGAGTAAAGCAGGAGAAGCCCATCCAGTCTGAGAACTACTCCAGGTGGATGCTAAGGTGCCTGGGCAGAGACTGATGTTGATACAGGTAGGTGGTAATGAATGTGGGTGTTTGGCCTAAGGCCACTAGGAGCCTTGTGAAGCAATTAAATCCCATCAAAGGAAGTTTAAGGACTTCCCCATGCCCTTGTACCTCACTCTCCCCATAGGAAATCATCAAAGGACAAGCTTAGGCTGGTTTGGCAGGGCTGGCCCTAGGTCCAGTACCCTGGAGCCAGGAGATGACTCTGGGTCGGTCACCTTCCAGGACACCATCACATACATGGTGTGAAGACTAATGAGTTAAAGGACCAAGCATCCTACCTCCAAGGAGCCTTTGGCCAGGCCAGATTATGACTATGGAGTCCTGAAATACTAACAAAGTACTGTCCTCTGCCACTGAAAAGGAAAATCTTTTCCTCTACTCTCTTAGATTCCACGATGGGGGCCTCCAAAGTTAATGACAAGAGGCAGATCGGTAGGCGAGAAGTCATATGAGTTTTATTTATATTAATATTTTACAGAGAAGTGAAACTCAAGGCAACGGTGAGATTCAGAAACAGCAAATAAAATCTTGAAATTTATACAAAAGCACAGAAGGCCCCCAAATAATAGAAGCAATCTTGAGCAAAAAAAGCAAAGCTGAATGAATGCTACATGCTACCTGACTTCTAGTAACTATACTGTAAAACTACAGCACCCTAAAGATATACCATAGCATAATGCTGGTATAGAAACAGACAGACCGATAAACAGAATAGAAAGCCTAAGCATAGGTCCATACACCTACAGCTAACTGATTTTTG